GATAAAGGATGACTCTATTTAGCTAGGACTCTAAGTTATGATTTTATATTGGTATTGTGAGTGAGAGTAATAACTGAAAAAGAGACTGAGAACTCCAGAGCTCTGATACAAAGACATAAGAAGAGTAAATATGTGAAGATGATAAAATGAAGGTATAATGTAATAGAAATTATGGGGGAAGATAATATTTAAAGCAGTTATAGTGAAAATAGCATGACTGTTACGGTAATGTATAAAATAAATTTGACTTTAAATGAATCCTGGAATGATCTTAGTGCATGAATGAAGAAGAATGGATATGAATAAGGGTTTTAATATTACTGTCATGTGGTTATGACTGACTGTATAGGGAATTAGTGCTATCAGATGTGAATATTCTTATAAAAAAATAAGAGATGAAGGACATTGGGCATAAAGATCAAAAGTATGGTTGAGAGAAGTACTGAAAGAGGGAATCTGTTGAAATTACAGGCAAAATGTAAGGAAGAGACATGAATTCCTGACCACAATGTATAAATTCCGAATAAAAATAACTATTGTATTCAGCATGTTCTAAAATTATTAGCAATATCGTAACTGACCTCAATTTTTTGCTCGTCAGTATATCTTACTCAAGGAATTCCCTCTATATGCTAAATAATGGTTTAACCCAACAGACATCTAATAATTTTGAAGATAGTAAAAAATGGAAATAAATATGTATTAGCAGATACCGTTATTTCAAAAATAATTTACATTACTGATAAAATAAAATAATGCGGTTACAAAAGAGCGAAAATTAGTTAATAGACACGTGTTTGAATAATTTTTAAAATCAGAAAATCCCGTAATTTAACGGTTATGCGTAGTTTTGGAAATTTCAATTTGGTAAAGTGTCTTATTATGTTTTTATTAATGTTGCAAGTTAATCAGAAACCGATAATTGGTTTTTATGCAATAACTTTATAAAGACTTTGCTTTGCCATGACAACTAAAAGTTGACGATTGATAATGAAGTGTCGAAAATATTTACCAGACACCTAACTCAGTATCTGAAACAACAACCTATGAAACAAGATATAAATGATGAATGGCAAAATTTAATAACAGAAAAAGGAGATTATCAAAACTGAAACAGAAGACAATATATAGAAATTATATCGAAAAACACGTCTTACCACAAGAGACCATTCGGACCACTTCTTATTGAATGCCAGAATCAGAGCAAAAATTTCAAATGCGAAAAAAGAAAAGAGAATTATAAAACTTTTAGAAGATCTCCCTCCATACACAAGAAAGATATCAAAATTAATAGATGGGAGCTGTAGAACATCCACTGGGACAGGTGTAAAAGCGGCGTTAAGCAAGCGACCAATAATGTCCTCGGGACAAAAGTACATATAATCATGATGCAAAGAAAACTTAGCAATAACTTAAAAGAAACTAAGGAAAGGGGAAAACAATTAAAACACATTAATAACACAATGAAAATGAAAGTGTAAAAAGCATCTTTCTATAAGGAAAACGTCTAACATCCCGATAGAACTTCCTCCAGTGATGAAAATATGGGAGGCAATCAAACGTCTCAAGAACAACAGGTCACCAGTAATCGATGCTATTCCTAAAGAGCTCTTAAGATAACGAGGTAATATCCCATAGATTGTATATACACTATAGATTCATCATCATCATCACTGGCTCGACAACCCTTTTTGGGTCTTGGCCTGTTCAAGGATTCTTCTCCATTCTGACCTGTTTCGTGCTTTTTTTTTCCAGTTTTTAATTTTTAATGTTGTTATATAATTTTCTATTTGTTCTACGTATCTCAGCTTCGGTTTTCCTCTTGTTCTTTTTCCTACTGGCACTTGTTTGAATATTTTGTTTGGTATTTCGCCTTCTTCCATTCTTTCCACATGTCCAATTCAACGTAGCCTTCCTATTTTAATGAATGTTAATTAATCCACTATAGATGTACTATATATATAGTGTTTTAATACACTATAGATTATCCACTATATAAAAAATGGTATATCCACGGTAATATCTACTATTAACACAATATACAAGACGTTATCTAACATCGTATACAGTCGTCTAAATGACGACTGTATATTCAAACTAAACTAACTCACAGACAGAAAGTGTAGAATACAGAAAGTATAGGTAAAAAGGTAAAATATTTGGAGATTCAACAGAGGTAACCAGCTTAACACCTATCATACACTAAAGTTTTAAGTTACACATTTTAATAAACTTAAGAATAATTTATATACCTTGTACATAGTTAATGATATAAAATCAAGTAGATTGAAAGGGGGGTATAATTTTTGCAATAATAAACTATTAATAAGTTCCTGTCTTTGTAATTCAAATTTACTATAAGCATAAAAAATGTGATGATCTAAGTCGAAAACGACATTTCAAGTTTCACAAAGTTCGGTGTTAACTACACCGATTTTATATAAGTGTTGAGGGAAGCTTGCATGTCCGAATTTCAGCCTACAAATGGTCACAATGTATATCATTTCTTGTAAAATCTGGTGCCACAAAACTGTCGGAATAATTGGATGTAATAGTGTGTCTCGTGTGAGGTTATTAGAGCAATAGTTTTCTCAATGCACTTTTTTATTTTACATCAATTCCCATTTTACCTTAAAATTACTCCTAGATATCATTAAATATTATTGAGCACCTAAATTGTTGTTGATATGCTGTCCAGTTGTAACGCTTTCTTTGGCTAAGGAGTCTGCAACTTCGTTGCCACGAAGTCCTATATGAGCTTTTACCTAAGTGAATTTTAATTCGCATTGAATTTTCTTTTATTTATGAATTCTTACTTTTTATTCTTTAATAAAAGAATATGTATTTTTTTAACTTGTTTTTTTCGATATATTACCAATTGCTTCTGCAGAAAAAATTAAAGTATTATTACTTAGTTTGAATTGTTCTTGAACGTTTGTTGATGGTATTATATAGAATGCACATCCCGTACCATTATTTTGTTTTGATGCATCTTTATATATTTCTAGAAAATCTGACAGATTTGATGCAGGCGCTTAATATATTTTACTTATCAACAAATTTTCATTGTATACAGAAGAATTTAGATTTTTCGACTGAAATAGTTCTTTTTAAATCACTATTCTAACTACTTGTATTTCTAAAAGCCATACATAATGGAGGAGAAGGTTTTTTTGACCAGTACGTGTTAGTTAAATCGCGGTTGAATAAGGCTATTAATTAATTTAATAAGGCTATTTTATCTAACAGAGTACGGTTTTTAAAAAAAGACTTAATAATAAATTTTTCTGCCAACCATTCAATCAGTAGAAATAATGGTGGTTCTAGAGCTTCAATCAGAAGGGGTTCCACAAGCGTCGAACACATTGCACCCAAACAGAGTCTTAGGGAAATATTTTGAATTATTTCCAATCGCTTTAGAATGCAAGGACTGGCTGATCCATACAATATACATCCGTAATTCAAGATGAATCTAATAAAGGCTTTGTAAAAAATTAAACACCATTGTTGATCTGCTCCTCGCCAGGTTCTCCTTATGAATTTTAAAAAATGTATGCCTTTTAAACATTTTGATTCTATACTTTGTATAAATGGTTTCCAGCTAAGCTTCTTGTCCAGAATAATTCCAAGATAAGTTACCTTATTTGATACTGGATATAAGGTACCAGTTACATTTATGTTATCAATATTGGGTAGATTATGTTTTTTAAAGATGGTAACACTAGATTTTTAAGGGGTTAAGGAAAACCTAACGATTCAAATTTCAAAGTAGTTAGTTGTATATGTAACGTGAGATCAATTATGCCTGCTTTTAATTTTTTATTAGTGTTATTAACGACAAAATCATCAGCATACTGTATAATATAACTATTTTTTCCTCGTGTATTTTTTTGGAAAAACATTAAACAAAAGTGGAGAGATAACGGAGCCCTGTGGATGATTTTCTGGGACCTATTACAGAATTGTTGTTTGACCTTACATAAACTTTTCTTTGTGTTAAAAGATTGCATAATACATTACACACTCTCGCAAGGACATCTGCCTGAAGCAATTTTTCTCTTAACATAATGATATTAATTGTATTTTTGGGAGGTTCTAAAACGCAAAATGCATTTATTAAAAATTTATAAATATTCGAATCGCTTTTGAGCTGTAGTAGAATCCCAATTTTGCTATTTAAATCAGTTCTGTTGTTAGAACTAAAATGAAATAGTTGTTCCTAATTTATTAAAATGCCAATGATCATAGTTGTCGAGGCATTAACTCAATAATAATAATAATAATTTATTAGAAATTGACAAGCCCAACGACAAGTATAACGAGAGATTTATTTGGTACCTACACATTAAACATGCATTTTTGGAAAATATTTGGTGTACATTACTTATTTTATTTATTAATATTATTTTATGTAACTCTCGATAATCTGCACACACAACTGACGTATATATTAAGGCTTTTTTTAATACCAAAAACATTAGTCTGGCTTTTTTATTTCTGTTTTTTAGTTGGAAGCAAACAAATCATTAAAAATTCCAAATTGATTGTCTAGCTTTCTCTAAAACAAAAAAAAAACATTTTTAATTTCTCTTTTGGAATTTCCTACCGATCCACAAAAACGTCGCTGTAGCATCCAATACAAGCAAAATTAATAATAAATTACAAAATTAGAAATTTTCCGTCCGAACCGGTACGTCACTGCATTAAGTGAACTGTCCACATTGCGCATGACTAGGGAATCCCGAAAACATTCGCTTTTAGAAACCATGCGAATAGTTCCTTCAGTTAACGAGTGATTGTGAGAAAGTACAGTTCATTTAACGAGCTACTTTTCGAATACGAATGATTTTTAACCGACTTTTATCTTGTGTTTGATTATTTAAGTGCTTTTTTACCTTAATATCGTGTCGTAACGAACGTTTATAAAGTGACGAACAGTTTTACCTTTAACCACATTGAAAAAGAACTTACAAAAATGTCTAAGCAACAAAATTTTCCAGATACAAGTGCATCTGCCCACGAACACGAAGACAAAAAGGCTATTTACTACGAATCCTCCAAGACTGACAGCGGGTTCATATCGGGAGAAATATCCGAAGAAATCTTAGATTCGGGTTTAATCGAAGACGTAGACAAACCCCTCAATACCACAGCTTCTTTTACCGAGGAAGAGGAAAAGAAAGTTGAACCCATGCTTCTGGACAGTGGCGTGTGTCTTACGGAGAGCTTTTCCAAGATAAGCATAAAGGAAATCGAATCTGGAGTAAACGATCTAAACAATCCCAAAAAACCAACGGCATTAGTGGCACCTGTTGATTCCTTTACCAAGAAGCAGGTCAAACCCGTCGAGGCTATACCATGGAAAATCTACTACGAGCAAGATGAAGAAGGAGATACGTAAGTAGAATTTCTGTACTTTCCAAAGCTTTAAAATTAATTGTAATGTAATTAAAATGGCCTTTGTTTGGGTTCAAGAGGTTAGGCAACCGATTCGATATAAGTGTTACTGTTTTATTCATAGGCGTAACACTAACCATTATTGGGATACTTGCAAAATTAATAATAAGATACCTTCATAATTTTCACATTTTATATAATTTACCATCTTGATTATGGTTGAGTTTCATCCTATATAGATAGAATGCAGTAACAATATGCATATGAGAGTACTTAATCTAAGATGCTTTAGTTTTCGAATAGATCTTTGGGTTTGTTTGCTTACATAGTATGTCAGTCATTTCCCAATATTCCAACACCATATAATGTGATATTCGTTAGTATGTATCTGTATCTTTCCACTACGTCAATTTTAGCTGCTCTTAAGGCCTATCCTCGATAATCCTAACGGTAAAATTCAGTGAGCTATCTATTTCAAAAATATCTTTCTTTACGAAAACAAAATCCATTCACGAAGAATATTTTAAACGTCATCTGGTACTAAATTTTATATTTTTACCTACTTACAATCCCCTATTGTGTGAAGTCTTGGGTGTATACAATAAAGCGAGCGGGAGGTCTTCTATTCATTGCGATTATGGGGTAATTAGAATTATACGAGTATACCAGAATAATATTATTTATTGAATAATTAATTTACATTTTAGCAAGGGTACATACAGGTAACAAATAATCGTCCTGTAAATAATTCATAACAATTAAATCGAAGACAAACTTTTATAAAATTTTTATAACAAAATAATGTATAACAAGATAAGTGTATTGGTTTTTTTATGTCTTATATTTTCTTTTGTTATTGTTTTTTTGCTGAAAAATTGGCTTTTAACGTATATTACAGTTTGATGATAAATATTCTGAAATGGAAAATGTTGAGATGTGGCGAATGAAATCATTCATGAAATTAAAATGAAGGGATTTACGTCTATTAGTGGTGCGATTTATAAAATTAGTAGCTCAAATCGCGGGAGGAATATATGCATTAGTTTTCAAATCTTTATTATTTACGATATAATTTCTAAATTGAACCACTTTCACTTCTTTAGGTAACAATGTATCTGTCTTGACAACTAAATAGGTAATTAGACAAAATAATGATTATTATTAATTTCAAAACGGGAGTTTAAAGAATTAGAAGAAGGTAGTCCGGGCCCAGTTAAACAATCAAGTTTATTCCAGTGGAAGCAATCAGGAGGATTGTTTTTCGTTTTGGCTCAGCTGACATGCTCTCTCTAGAACTAGAACCCATGAAACTATGGTAAAAAGCATGCTTTTATTTACACGGTTGTGAAACGAGACGATTAACAGAGACATCAAAGAAAGATATGTCGCTGAAATGGATGCAATAAAGTATGAGAATAGAAGGTACAGTCATGGATGGCATACAATGAAGGCATCTCAAATGGTACGGACATGTCCAATGAATGAAAGACAGTAGACTCCCGAAACAAGTACATCTATGAACAACTACAGGAATCCAGAAGAAAGGACTACCGTAGAAAACACGGATGGAACGAATAAAAAACTCAATGCGCTCGAAAGTACTTAAAGAACAATGGAACAACCGAATTCAATGAAAAATGGACGTCGAAAGACGTTTTATACGGATTATATCATATTACGAGTATAGGTACATTGTTATTATATCATATTATATCTATTTATATAATACATTATATACACGATATTGAAGGAGGTTACAACATAGACAATCAACAAAATCTACATTGTCAACTACATAGTGAATACCCAACAATAATAGAAGTGTCAAATGCCGACTTCTTGGTATTTTTGAGAGAAAAATTCTTAGAAAGATTTTTGAGGTCGTAAATGAAAATGGAGTATAGCGTCTCAGAGACTTAGATGGGCTGGACACATTACTAGGATGTCAGATCACGAATACATGAAGAGATTAACATTTTCAAAACCAGAGGGCAGAAGAAGTTAAAAATGACCACGAAGAAGATGGATTGATAATGTGTCAGAAGCGGATTCTAAGGGTCAGAAGATGAAGGGAAGTTGTCAGGAATCAACAGGAGTGGCGATTTCTGTGCGAGCAGGCCAAGACGGATTGTCTAGGCATTTATGATGATGGTTGATGATGATATATACATGGTTAAATACCGAAACCTCGTAAGTCAAAATCTACAACTTTTCGGTAGAGCGAAAAAAAACGTCACTGCTTAGTACACGTGTTTTCTTTTTCTACTTTCTTTTCTGATGTAATAATTCGATAAATTTATTTCTGTTGTAATAATTAAGTAAGTATTGAGAAAAAAAATATGTACCAAGCGGCGAAGTTTTTTCGCTCTCCTGAAAAGTTGTAGATTTTGACATTTGACATTTCGGTATTTAACACTCGATATATTGAAAATCAACTTCATATATTGAAAAGTTTATTTCCTCTTTCAAGAAATTCTACAATGCGAAAGAAGATATATCTATGCAATAATAAATTATAACATAATAAATTATAATTATATAAGTAAATATTGAAACAATAGTATTATTATAAAAACAGTATAAGCATTTAGAAGGAAAATGTCACAACTCAACAGAAAATATTTCTATTCATATAAAAATTTAATCAAATTATAGGTACTTACTGCTTATTTATATAAAATTTCCTCAATCGTCGTCGACTTTTTCGTCCGGAGCATAAACGTCTTCGCGAACTACCCATTTTAAAAACAACAAAACACACTGATTTGTCAAAACTAGTCAAAAGTCGAAATAAGCCCTAATAATGTTATTCAACATTATTTATGACCCTCCAACTTTCTTACCTACTCGTCGGCGAGAGTCTAGAAACTATCAACAAGGACAGCTTGTACTGACCGAGAGAGAGAGTACATTTAGCACAATTTAACATTTTTTAAATAGTTTATATGAAATAGCTGCTTTGTCTTACACTTTATGTTAAAAATAAAAACAGATTCGGAAAGTGGGTAAAATTCTGTAGTGCCCTATTTCAAAAAAAAATTTTTACGTTTATTTTAACCAAAAATATTTAAAAAAAAAATATTGTTTAAACAATTTATTAATTTACAATCAAATAGTGCACTAGAACTTTTTAAGACCTTTCATATAAAAAAAGAATCATCTCAATATCTGCCATAGTTTTTGCGTTATTTGATATAAACTTTTACATTGGAATTTAGTTATGCCAGAATCGCGAGAATGGCCTTAATTGGAAATTTATACAGTAAACAATTGTTATACATGCTGTTTTTTCATTATTTTGTCAGTAAATGTCATATTATTATCTGTCTTTAGGGAAGTACAGAAACATGTGTAACTGAGGTCGTTTCATTATTTTTAACTTTATGAATATCAAATTATCAAATATTATCTGTAGGTTGATATCACTGCGTGCGATACCAGTCCAAGTTCCCTTCGCCGTACATATTTTTGTGTTTTCCCATTCGGAATGTGAGATTCCTGCTTTTGATTGTAAATTCCCACGTGCGACATCATATTTCTAGCAATTCTGGGTTGTGTTAATACTTCCAGCGATTATTTATATATTGTGGTTTAGGTTGACGAATGCCGTGGTTTGATTAATACCCGCCAATATTATTTTGTTTAATCCATGACTCACAACAATACCCAAAATACTTATTTCTTTGGTGAGTTAGGGTATGATTTATGTCGTAGTTCCCGGGACTTCCTTTGAATTTGTTTTAATCGGATTTTACCTAGTCTTGCTGGAATTCATTAGAAACTCATGATGTATAATGATGACCCTTGTCTATAAAATCCTTTGTTACTGAATTTCTTTAGTATTTTGAATCTTTTTCGTTCTAATAGCATTGGGATTATCTTTTATCTATAAATTTTCATTTTACCTGTACCTGTCTCAGGTAGTTAAATTTTGTTCCTCTTTTGTTAGATATAAACATTTTTATCTGCATCATTATTGATTTTTAATGATACCTGTTTTGATAAGAGCCGCTGTGAAAAGCTGATATTTGTGGAACAGCCTGGACTAGTCCCTAATTTCATCCATTATGTTAGGAATATTTTATGGTGTTTATCAAAAAGTTTAGTGAACTTTGTTTGTTGACAAGTTGACCTTAACATTAATGCCTATTGGAGAATAACGAGTGGAAATTTTAATTAGTATGTTTAATAATAGAAATCGGTTAATAAGTGTTATAAGTGTTTTTTGGAACAGTTTTTTGTTAATTTATGGTTAGGGAGTCACAATATTTGCTTAATTTAGCCATTGTATAGTTCTTGGTATATCGGAAAGTGTTTTCTACCTGTTGTGTTCTTTGTTTGGTACCTATCTACTACCTAATCTACTAAACTATCTTACATGACAAGATAATTCGAAAAACTTATAAAAGTGGAGATACTAAGTAGTCGCTCAGTATGACATACCATTACGTCACATGACATATGATGTAAATAGGAACATGTCATTAGTGTTAGAGAACATAGCACAGACAGGAAAAGACAACAATACTGTTAACAAGCAAGGATAAGTGGACAACTTTTAAGCACATGTTCTGATCTAATATCTCTGGCATCTTGGAGGAATGCACGAATTTTTTGCTTTTAGTTTATTTAGTTTTGGGTAAATTGTATTTCTCTGTATTATCTTTTATTAAATTAGGTTATATAGACGAGATTCATTTGAAGTAGAATTAAATGTGAAATCAATTTCTACCGTCATACGTTTTGCCTTAAAAAATTCGATAATATTCATTTAATATGTCTAATCCATGTATTTATGATCTATCTTCTGATTGTTGTTTTATTTTTCCAAACAGCTACATTGTTTTTACGGATCTGCTGTAATTAGCAACTTTTTTCTTTTAATTAAACAATAATTACCAACCTGAATTTGGAAGATCAAACAATTTTAATTATTGAGTCTCTAGGTGATTTGTTACCTGTCCCATTTTGACTAATTTGTTTGTATCTACATCACAAAA